TTGGAAACAAACAGGAAGGGATCAATAGTTAGAAAATAAGGTCTTGGTGGTGGAATCAAGCAGACTACATCTTTGGCAACGGTCAGTGGAGACGCTCAAGATCAAGGCCAGATCAAGGCCAAGTTTTGACTGTGGAATAGACCAACTTGCTTATATGCAAGTTCAGACTGAAGCTGAAGAAAATTAAAACAAGTCCATAAGATCTACAAGAGTCAACCTTGAGTATAGATTTTAGAGACTGAGTTTAAAGACTACATCAAGAAGATATTTGATGCATTAGACACTATTAACCAAAGACCAGGAGAGTTGTGGGACGACATCAAGAACATTGTATGTGAAGAAAGTAAAAGGTCATTAAAAAGACAGGAAAGAAAGAAAAGACCAAAATGGATGCCAGTAGAGACTGAAATTTACTCTTTAATGTAGAGAAGCTAGAGCTAATGGAAGAAATGATGAAGTAAAAAGAATAGAAAATTTCAAAGAGTAGCTCAAGAAGACAAAGAAAATAAAAAGAAACGTGTAAAGACCTGGTGTTAGAAAACCAGAGAAAAGCATGGCTCAGCATTTCTTAAGCTGAAAGAACTCAAGAAAAATTCAAACCTCAATTTGTAATATTGAAGTTTTATGGGCGAAATATTGAATGATGCAGAAAGCATCAAAAGAAGATGGAAGGTATACACAGTCACTGTACTAAAAAGAAATGGTTGATGTTCAACCAGTTCAAGAGGTAGTATACTATCAAGAATTGATCAAGAAACAAGTCCAAGCAGCACTTAAGACACTGGTGAAAAACAGGCTCCAGGAATTGATGGAATACAAATGGAAATGTTTAAACAAACTGATGCATTACTGGAGACTCTCATTTGTCTATGCCAAGACATTTGGAAGACAGCTACCTAGCCGTCCAATTGAAAAAGATCCATATTTGTGTCCATTCCCAAGAAAGGTGGTCTCAACGGAAATGTGGAAACCATCTAATCATATTATCAGCACATGCAAGTAAAATTTTGTAGAAGATAATTAAAACATGGTTGCAACAGTACTTCAACAGGTTGTCAGAAATTCAAGCCAGATGCCGAAGAGGACGTGGGACTAGGGCCATCACTGTTGACATCAGATGGCTCTTGGCTAAAAGTGGAGAACACTAGATACATGTTTACTTGTGCTTAATTGACTGTGTAAAGGCATTTGACTGTGTGGGTCATAACAAACAATGGACAACACTGCAAAGAATGGGAATTCCAGAACACTTATTTGTGCTCATGTGGAATTTATATATACACCAAGAGGCAGTCATTCAAATAGAACAAGGGGATACGGAATGGTTTAAAATCAGGAAAGGCGTGGGTCAGGCTTTTCTCCTTTTTCGATACTTACGCAATCTGTATGTTAAGAAAATAATCTGTGAAGCTGAATTATACAAAGAAGAAAATGGCATCATATTGGAGAAAGATTTATCAACAACCTGCAATCTGAAAATGATACACCTTGCTTGCTGGAAGCCAAGAAGACTTAATGCACTGATGAACATGAAAGATTATAGCCTTCAGTATGAATTCCACCTCTATGTAAATAAAATTAAAATCCTCACAATGGGAACAATAAATAACATCACAATAGACAGAGAAAAGATTGACTCTGTCAAAGACTTCATTTTGCTTGTATCCACATTCAACCATCATGAAAGCAGCAGTTAAGATAGTAAATGACATATTACATTAGGCAAAACTGCCACAAGAGATCTCTTTTAAGTGTTAAAGAGCAAAGATGTCACTTTGAGAACTAAGGTGTCCCTGACCCAAGCCACGGTATTTTCCATCACTCATATTCCTGTGAAGTTGGACAATGAAGAAGGAAGACTGGAGAAGAATCGATGCATTTGAATTTTATTGGACTGCTACAGTAGATCTCTCTTGGCAGTACAGCCAGAATGCTCCTTACAAGTGAGGGTGGGGAAACCTCACTGTTAGAAAGGACGAGTCCCTGGACAAGCATACCATGCTTGGTATAATGGAGGGTCAACATAAAAAAGACAGGACTTCAACAAGCTGGACTGATATGGTGGCAGCAAACATGGGCTCAAATATGACAGTGGGTGAGGATGGTGAAGGACCCGGCAGTGTTTCGTTCTGTTATGCATAGGTTTGCTAAGTCAGAATGCATCTGATGGCACCTAACAACAAAGTGCTGAATTGTCCGCTCTTGCTACAACACAATCTATCTTTTTTATATCCTAAATAATGCAAGTGATATAGCTTCTATCAAGGGAACTTAAAAGCTTCTGTATTAAAAAAAGCTTCTGTCTTTCAAAAGAGAGAACAATTCACACTCAATGTTTTTTTAAGTACTGGAGAGTCCCTCATCTTTCACAATTTCTACTACCCTTTTTGCCTCTGGAAACTGAGTTGGATGGTAGTCAAGCATGAAGCACTTCTCTCTTTTTAAGGCATAGTTCAGGGGCCACTGTGCAGTTGTGACTGAAATCCAGAACAAATGTTCAGGATCCTCTGCCTCCTGCAATACCACGTTGATCCATGCCCTCCCTTGACACTGGGCCTCACTGTTTGTCTCTATGGATGAAGATTATGGGTTTCCGAATCCTCCTAAAATGCCTACCCATCATCTCTTCCAAATAATTTTCCAAAATAACTCATTGTGTTTGTATTAATTCATTTGATCATTTTATTCAGTTTTTGGATCCTGAAAGTATAATGAATCATTAAGCAGAGCAATTGTTGTTGTTGCAGTTAAGTATGTTGAGTCTGTTCCGACTCATAATGACTCTGTATAGGGTTTTGGAGGAGCGATTGGTGAGTTTGAAGCACTGACCTTGCAGTTCAAACCAACCTTGCAGTCCACCAATATTAACCCATAGCATAATAAACACCTTAAAATCAGCTTATAACCCATTCAAAAGAGGAAGAGGGGTGCAAAAGGGAGAAAAAAAAAATCAGTGAACTATTAGAAATGGCAAGGATTAAAATGTTTCTCTTCACAAGAAGAGGTCATTCAACACTAGTAAAATATGATCACTTGGAATATAATTATTGGATAATTGAACATATTTAAGGGAATGTGGTGATTTTTTTAAACCTTAATTCAACCATTTAAGATAAAAAGGACAGCATTTACCTAAGGAAAAAGTTCAGAAGGGTTGGGAAAGAGGATGAAATAGAACCGAGAATCACACGGAAGGAGTGGATCATCGATGTTACATGGAGGGGATTGCAGTATATTGGAGTGAAATGAAGTGTGTCGTTTGTTGGATGTAAAATGGATGATCTTGCTCTGTAAACTATTACTCAATTCATAATAAAAAGTTAAAAAAAAATGTTTTCTAAAATTCTGAATACTGAAAATTGACAGTGTGCAAATTCCAAAAAACAAACTTTCCAAGGCAGATTGTATGCACATTCATTACAAGAACATAAAGTGGGCACTCAAATAAAATCACACTTCTCAAATTAATTGTGTACACATATATATGCTAAATAAATGACACTGGTAAATATTTAGCTAAGAGTTTTATGCTTGCTACTATATATTTTTTGGTGTGAATTAAGGCCCAAAATCACCACGTACCATTAAATATCTTCAATTATCCAATAGTACAAAAATTTCAAGAAGCTACAGTCTAGTTTATAAGTTAATGTTTCCAGACAACATTTCATGTGTTCATAGTTGCTGTATTATACCACTTATCTAGCCTTGCTCATAGGACATAGGACACAGAATTACAGCCTAACTATAATCATAGTATAATTATAATAAAACTCTAGATCTTTTCATTGATTTAGAACCTTTCATCAGTGAAGAGAGACTAAAATTTATGAGACTTGTGATAAGGTATATTTTTATAAACATACATACATGGAGATGTGGTAGTTGACACAACTGTATTGGTCTAGAGCTTCCCTATGTTCTCATTTATCTATGAATTCTTCTTTTAAAAGTGGTAGGAAGAATAGCTGTTTAAAAATAAAAATGAATTAAAATTTGTGACACAATTTCTAATCTTGTTTAGTCTCATATAACAGTCTTTACCACTTGCTTTTATCACTGAAATCAAAACCACAAGACGTATAATGCAATATTTAGTCTGATTAAAAAGCCTAACTCCAAGAACTCTTCTCAGAAGCTGCCAGTGAGAAAGGTCAGCTATATAAGTTAAGTCACAGAACAGAGCCATATGGAATGGGTCAATGGGTAGCATTGCCTCTCTTAAATCTTAGTCCTATGCTACATTCTTTAGAATGTGATGGCAAAGCCAACTACCAAAAATAAAGCCAACTTAAAACAAAAATAAGCAGAGAAACAAAGTAAAAGCAAACTCTGATCATAGGGTACTAAAGGGCATGTGCACATATGAAGTGGGAACAAGAGTTTTGTTCACCAGACAATAGTTAAAAAGAGATAATCTGATAATATTCACCTAAATATTCTGAGGCCTCCTGCTGGACAGGTAATCAAGAATTTAGGGTTGTTTTTCTTTCTAACATATTCTTTAGACTGTTGTCTAATAAACACAACACAAAGTATAAAGGTTTGGGATTAAATAAAAGTCACTATTTTAAAACAAACTAGAATTAGAGAACCAACATCTTAGAAACAGAATTTAAACATTTAATAAAAAAGTAAAATGACAGATTTAGAAAAAAATATCTTTAATTAATATTCAAAACTTTTTTCAAGTTCATGTACATACAACACACTATGCCTGAAGACATGTTGTAAAGTGTTCCTGTAGACATTAAAGTTAAGTGTGACAAATATGCCTATGCTATTTTATAGAGAATGTGTTGCATACGTAGTCAATGATTTCATATAAAAATATATTATCCATTTAGCAAAACAACTTTTACTTGATAAAATGCAACAATATAAATTTAAGGAAACCGATTTATAGCATTTTTGTGAAAATTTATAAATTCCTCATTAAATAAAGAATAAAATAATTTGGTTAAATGTAGTCAAAACTAATTCAAAAAAAGAATTTCAGAATGTGACAATCTTTCATAATGATTTCAAAGCTATTCAAATAAGGTTTTGATTAATTTAGCTACTACATGCACATTGAGACTATTTCCAAGTAGTCGGTAACGCTGCTTCATTGTTATCTTCTCAGGAAATCCTGCAACAAAGAGATGATAATGTATAACATAATCATTCAGAATATTAATTTCCAGACATTAAAGATGCATCAAGTAGCAGGAGCACAAGTGGGCATTTACACAAGATAAGATCTTCAGGTCTTCATGAAAGTTCAATTAACTAATGAGAACTGAGAGCCAAAATTTATATAATTTTACACTGTCTGCATAATGTGGTGTTACAAGATTATAAAACATATTATACTCAACACATGCACATACACACACAACGTATACAAATAACGTCTAGAGAAATCATTGCAATTCACATACTGGTGAACTTTAGAGAAATCAGTGGTTATCTTTACTTCACGATTACTTCTATTTTTCAATAACATTTTTAGATATAATATTAACTACGAATTTCACCTTTTTTAAAGTGTGTAATTCAGTACTTTTAGTATAGTCAGTTTCACAACCATTACTGCTGCTAGATGCTATCAAGTCTTCACTGACCCCTGAGGCCCTTATATAAAACAGAAGGAAGGATTGTCCTCCTGGGCCATCTCCAGATTCTTGGGTTATTTGCACCCATTGGTAAAACAACTGTGTTAATCAACTGCACTCAGGATTTCCTCCATTTTTGCTGACCCTCTACTTTTACCAGCCATGACATCCTTTTCTAGCAGCTGATCATTCCTGATGATGTGTCCAATACAAGCAAGACAAAGTCTCACCATTCACCTTCCTAAAGTTGTATTTCTTCTGGCAATCTACAGTATATATTCAACCATAATAATACCTAATTCCAGATAATCTGTATCAGTCTAAAACAAATCCTTTTCCCCTTATCAGTCATTCACATTTTCCCCTTCCCCTACCTCCCACCTCCCTATTCCTGAGAATCACTAATCTACTTACTGTTTCTATGCATTTGTCTCTTCTGGACATTTCACACAAAACAGAATTATGTAATAAATAGGTGATCTTTTGTGTGCAGCTTCTTTCACTTATAATAGTTTTAAAGTTCATCCGTATTGTAGCATGTGCCAATACTTTAGTCCTTTCTGTGCCCAAATAATATCCCAATGTATTTAGTGCGCTACATTTAGTTTTTCCATGCACTGCTGATGAGCAGTTGGACTGTTTCTACTTTTTGGCTATCATGAATAAGGCTATTGTAATCATCTATATATAAGGTTTAGTGTGGATATGTTTTCAATTCTCTTGAGTATACACCAAGAAGTAGAATTGCTGGTTCATATAACCTGCTATGTTGTTGTTGTTGTTATGTGCCATCGAGTCGGTTCCGACCCATAGCGACCCTGTATAGGGTTTCCGAGGGTGTAAATCTTTCCGGGAGTAGAAAGCCTCATCTTTCTCCCGCGGAGCAGCTGGTAGTTTCGAACCGCTGACCTTAAGGTTCGCAGCCCGATTCGTAACCACTACGCTACCAGAGCTCCTTATAACCTGCTATAGTACTATAGAATAAGCACAGGACTGCTAACCACAAGGTTAGTGGTTCAAACTCACTAGTCACTCCTAAGAAACCCTATTCAGGGTTGCTATGAGTCAGAATCAACTCAATGGACACTTAACAACAAAAATAATAACTCTATGTTGCTCCTTTGAGGAACTGCCACACTATATTTCAAACCAGCTGTGCCATTTTACATTTCTACCAGAACTGCATGAGGGTTCCAATTTCTCCACATCCTCAGCAACACAAGTTATTTATTTATAATAGCCATCCTAATGGATGTGAAGTGGGAACTTATTCTGGGTTTTGATTTGCATTTGTCCTGGTGTGACACTGTAGGATAAACACTGGACTGCTAACAGCAAAGTTGGTGGCTCAAACCCGCCAGTCACTCCTTGGGAACCCTCTACAGCGTTATTATGAATTGGACACTTAACAACTTAACAACAATAACTGATGATATTAAGCATCTTTTCATAGGCACATTGGTCATTTGTATATCTCCTTTAGAAAAATGTGTTTTCAATTCCTTTGCCCATTTTTAAATTGAATCATTTGTTCTTTTTTAGTGTTGAGTTATGAGAGTTCTGTATACAAGTCCCTCACAGCAGATTTTTATGCTCTGCTTCCACATTGGGCTTCTATTTGCTACACTGGCTTCTTAAACCAAAATAAACCAAAATGACATTTGCTGTAACATTGAAGTTTCAGCATAAAAAATGAGCCATGCATAAGACTGTAAGGTATGGTAGTTACAATGTCAGGAATTCACATTCAGTACCTTTTGGCATGGAGTCCTGGTGTGGCTCTGTGGGTTAACATACTGGGATGCAAAGTCAGTTTGAACCACAAGGTTGGTGGTTCAAGCTCACCAGCCACTCCTTGGAAACCCTATACAGGATTGCTATGGGTTGGAACCAACTTGACTGCCCTTAACAGCAACAACAAACAACAACTTTCTGGCATACCAATTAAATAAAAGAAAATTTTGTTGTTGTTGTTAAGTGCCGTGGAGTCGGTTCTGACTCATAGCGACCCTGCACAGGGTTTCGGAGGCTGTAAATCTTTACGGGCAGCAGAACGCCTCATCTTTCTCCTATGGAACCGTTGGCAGTTTCGAACTGCTGACCTTGAGGTTCACAGCCCAATTCGTAACCACTACACTACCAGAGCTCCTTAAATAGGAATAATTGTTGTTAATGTCGTCACGCCGGTTCCGACTCATGGCAACCCCATATAGGATTTCTGGAGCAGCTGGTGAATTTGAACCGCCCACCCTGTGGTTCACAGTTCAGTGCTGATCCTACAGTGCCACACCAGGAGTCCGAATAGTACTAATAGAATAAAGGAAATAATTTTAAAATGTTAGCAATATCAAGGTTTCACAAACTTGTAAGAATCAGAAGATAAAGGTGATTGTAATAAAGTTGCTTCGTCAACACTATATTTACTGCAATAAAATAAGTGATTGCTATGATAAAGCTGTATTTATAATAAATATGATCATTGGTTGCTCTTGTAAAGGAAATGTCTTAGGCAAGCATATTACTCAATGTTATCTAAAAAATGGTTCAGTCCAAAGTAGTCAGAGTTCAAATGTTCAGTATATTCCAGGGATATTCTTCTTCAATATTATAATAATACTACAAAAGAAAGGTTTAAAAACAAACAAGTCAGACTTGTGAAAATTATATGGTCATGTTGAAATTTACATTAGTAATTACAAAAAATTTTAAGTTAAAGGTGATTTTTAAAGACTTAAATACATTTAAAATAACAACAATAATTATCCACAAATACAAAGAAACAGAATTAACATGATCAAGACAGTAGCTTTCATCAAACAAATATGGACTGTTGTTGTTACGTGCTGTCAAGTTGGTTCCGACCCATAGCAACCTTGTATAGGGTTTCCGAGGAGCGACTGGTGAGTTTGAACTGCCAACCATCTGGTTCAAACTGACTTTGCAGCCCAGCACATTAACCCACAGTACCACACCAGTACTGCAAACACGGATTGTTGTTATCGTTAAGTGCCGTCGAGTTGATTCTGACCCACAGCAACCCTGTATAGGGTTTCCACCAAGGAGCAGCTGGTGAGCTTGAACTACCGACCTTGCAGTTCAATTGACTTTGCAGTCTGACACATTAGCCCACAACACCACAACAGGACTCCAAATACGGACTGTTGTTGTTTAGTGCTGTCGAGTTGGTTCTGACCCATAGTTACCCTGTATAGGGTTTCCGAGGAACAGATGGTGAGCTTGAACTGCTGACCTTGCAGTTCAAATGTCAGGACTCCTCTATTCATATATGCATACGATCGGTTACAATGAAAATCAGGATGAACTGTACAAGGGGTCAATACAAATCCATCACTGACAGTGGACAAGTGACTCGGCCAATGCCCATTTTGTATCCAGAGACAATAATGTCAAAAACACCATGATAGACGATTCAGTGAAGGGGCAAATTTTACTCTACAAATATGTCACATTTTATAAGAAATTTAACCTATACAAGCTTTCATGAGTGTTCTTAGTTTCAGTATGGGGGGTTGGTAAAGTAGAATCTCCATGAAATAGTTTTCCTCTATTCAGATGGATTTAGTGAAACAGGGTGGGGGATGATGGTGATAGGATTTTATGATTCAGTTACGAGTAATTTTCATCAGGATAAATTGTGATTGTTACAACCGTAATTGTAGAAGATGTGCAACTAAAATGGGGGAGCAGTTCATATTTCATTTCAGGACCAGAAGACCTAGGACCATCAGTAAGGACAAGCATAGCTACCCCATCTATGCACAACAGAATTTAACACTGCCTGGTCCTGTGTCATCCTCACAATTGTGGAACCCTATACAGACAGGGTTGCTATAAGCAGGAACCATCTTCACAGCTCTTAACAACAATGCTTCACATATATTCTACATACCGAACTCTGGAGGAAATCCAAGAAGATTTGCTATTTCTTTAGGAGTGAAATACCGCAGTTTAAGCATTAACAATTTTTCTATCTGTTCTCCTTCTGACAAACTGCTAAGAGACTTGTAGATATTCTCAATCTGTAAGAAAACATCCAAGATAACTGATAAAGTAGCTTATGAGATTTCTTACACTATTTTGAGACAGTTTAAAAATGATGGACATATAGTCTGTTATAATTAATGGTAGCAAAATGCACTCCACAGGGCAAAATGTGTCTATGCAATAAACTACATAACTGGCCCATAAAAGGTCATTTAAACTTTGAAAAAGAAAAACCATGCTTGATGTTGAGTAGATCATAATACCTTTAAGTACTTTTCATTTTTGATATCTCAAAAATTAACCCTTAAGAATGTAAAAAATAAACAGCAATATAGCTTGAAAGGAATATTGTGAAGATATAAAGATTTGAAAGATGTGTGAAGTCAGTTTTATAATGCTAACAAGTTATAATGATAACATTTATTATTTACAATCAATTTTGCAAAATAAAGAACGTTTCTTAAAATCATATAATACATTAAATAAATGATTTTTTTCAAATTTAGATAGCATTTGTATTTTACCAAGGGTAAAATTTGTTAATAGTAAGAGCTGTAAATTAAAGATAACATATCACACTTTAAAATTATGTAAAACTTGCTATATATCAGGTTTGTATTCAGTCATGATATCATGGAGGATTTACAACTAAAGTATTAAACGAGTGCATTGCTAAAACAAAGATTTTTCCCCCTGCTAAAAATAGTATGTCTCCCAAAGAAAGTTTCCAATATTAAGATTCTCTGTGTTTAATTTTAGAAAAGATTAAATACTGAGGTTGAATTTCCATTTACTATTTATGGAATAAAAAGAATACAGATGGTAAGAATAAGAAACCAGGATAATTAAAGCATAAAACATTTCTTGTGGAATGTCTATAGATACAGATGCCCAGTTCCTCTTAGGTGAACATATTTAAATGAACGTACTAAATATAATTACATACTAAATATAACTTTATTTAAAATGCTACTTTCAAATATTTTCATTTAAAAACTTACATAGTACCTGCACATCTTCTGAAGTTTGTAATACGGATCCTGCACCTTCTATGAAGCTTCCATAACTGAAAAATTAGCAAAGTATTATACAGCACCTAGTGTATTTGTTAATGCTAAATTTCTTAAGCATTTTTGGAGATGATCAATCAATAAAGTTACATCATTCTGAAATATTCTGATTAATACTGCATACGTATGCCGTGTAATTTAAAAATCTCTAGGTAAAAGACTACGTAAGACCTTTCTAGTCAAACTTCTCAGAAATGAAATTTGGCAGTTAATTAGTTGTGTAAGCACCATTTAACTATGCATTTCTTTGCATTAATATTAATCATCATTTTTCTAATGTTCAATACTGGAAAGTATGAACTTGCTATGACTCTGTATTCAAATGCTATCCAATTTTATAATCCCTGCCACATTAAACCAAACGTTATGGAAGTGAAAATAAACTGCTCCTATTTTTTATGATGCCTGAATCATCATTTTTTCTCATGAACTTAAAAACGTATTCACCATATAATGACAAACATGGCCCACCAACTCTGTGGTATGTTTTTACTTTTTGATACAATAGCTAGAGCTCTGTACTAAAAAGTGAACAAAAAGTATAAAACTATGGAAATGCAAGGTATTAATTATATTTATTTATCCAAACTGGCTGTGGAATCATTTTTTCCTTAAAGTTGGTAGTGATGTGCCATCAAGTCAGTTCTGACTTGAAGTAACGCTGTACAGGGTTTCCAAGGCTGTACATCAGTACAGGAACAAAAAGCCTCATCTTTCGCTTGTGGAATAGCTAGTACATTCCAACTGCAGCTCTTGTGGTTAGCAGCCCAACTCATAACCCACCACACTACCAGGGCTCATTTTATCCCTTAAAAAATAAATATTAGAGAAAAAGTTACAGTAGGAAAAATTAGTCTCTTTTAAATTGCTCTCTCATACATATCATATATATATATATATAATATATACATATATATAAATGTGTGTGCATGTGTTACTACTCACACTGAAACAGAGGTTTCTTTTATACCATCTTTATAATTGCAGAAGAATTTCAAGGTTGTTTTTTATGACAAAACTGATGCCTTCTTTTATGAGAGTCCTAAATAGATACTACTGCACTTGGCAACAAACAATAGCGGAGAGAAGTCTTTTAAGGTAATGGAAAGCAATAAACCCTTTCCCCTGGAAGTACAAAGTCAAAATGTGATAAAATCATATTGAGTCTGGTATGGTTATATCAGGGGTACAGTGTTTTATCCAAGACAGCTAGTTAGTAGGTAAGAAATGACATTTTCTTTAAAAAATCATATAACTATTTATCAGGTGAAGTTGTGTGGCATTCAACAACAAAGCAGCGACATGGATTGTTTGTAATAATTTTCTGGAAAGGCCTAATTTTCTTTCTAGATTTTTTTTAAAAAATGGGTGAAATTCAAAAGAATGCAAAGGAAGTTACTTAAATGTCTATCAATACGTAACCAGTTATAAAAATTATGATAGAAAAGTTTCCTATATATCGATATGAAATAACATCAAATATATACTTTGCAACAACAACAACAAAAAAGGTACAATATAATGTATAAAAGTGTGCTACTGTTGACTTAAAGGGAGAACAAAAAGACATATGTATATTTAAGCCTCACATATAACTCCTCTGGAAGATTATACAGTTAACTGATAGCATTGGTTGCCTGAAGGGAAGGAGACTATATGGCTGAGGAACAGAAGTGGTAGAAATCTTACAGCCTTTGTACCTTTTGAAACTTGAACCAGGAGAATATATTACTTATTCAAAAATCTGAATAAAATTCAGATACCAAAATTACTCTAATATATTCTAGTTAATTCAATTTTATTTCTTGAAATTAAAATTTAATTTCTTCTTATATATACTGATCATGAGAGAACACATAAATCTTTGAGGTTCGATGTGCCGCTTAAAAAAAAAGGGTGGTAAAGAATTAGCAATTAGCCATCTACAGTACTATATTTCCCCTGGGCAATTAAGCTCCTATGAAGGTCACCAAACAAATGAAATTGTCTTTTATGAGCACTTTTGTGGGATGTGCACATAATGTTCTGCCAGAGAGAATTTTCAATTGTGTATTCTATTGGATCATGAAGCAGGCAATTAGGGGTGAGAAAATCTATTCTAGCAGAAGCACTTCATAAAATGCTTCTTGTATTTTTCAGGGGGGAAGCACTGTAAGAACCTGGTTATTCTGGATATACCATGAACAGTCTGTTTAAAACCTACCCTTTTGTAAAGCATGTAGATCTTCTGCAAGTGGGCTTAACAATATCTAATATAAGAGCATATCGCTGCAACAACTTTGGTGGCAAAAAGTACTGATTTATGTCAATGTCATGTTCAAGAAAATCTTTTAGCATACGAACAGAGAGATCACTGTTCTGTTGATGTTTCCTGTCTATTTCTTTTGTGGTCTCAAGCTTAAAAAGTATGGTCTTTTTTCCAGAACAGTGTGTGCTGTCACCAAGGCCAATGTTTGGTTCAACTGTCTTTTCTGCATCTCCAGCATGTTTCTGGGGATTTTCAGATCCGATTTTGGGGAACTCCATCAGTACCTGGAATTATGTAAAAATACACAAATTTGTGAAAAGATTTATTAAAATTTAAAAAGCAAACTAATAATATTCAATCAATATTACACAGTAATCTCAGTTACCACAAAAAGACAGAAATTGTGGTTTGTTCATTTTTCACTTAAGTTTCTTACAGATTACTCACTGTATGGCTATAGTGTCATCAGGCTACTAATGATTTAGTATTGCTTTCTGTATTTGCTAATTAAAATAGTCAACAAAATAATAAGGACGCATTATAATTGTAAAAGAAGTTTAAAAAGCAACTTAAAACATTTCTAGAAAATCTATCTAGATTACAGTTTGCCATACTTCAGTCACTGAAAAGGAAAGTTCCCACAGTCCAAAGAAAAACAATTTTAGAAGAAGAAAGTAAAAGAAAAGCACTTTTTACACTGAAAGGTTATTTCTACTCATGAGTCCCTTCAGAAAAACTTGTTTCTATACAACCCATACTCATATATAAAGTCCTATTTTTTTAAAAGAAAAACCATTTCATGGCTTTTTAATAATGAAGTCATTATTAATCTACTTTATACATTGTTTTTGGAATTATTCACTAAGGAAAAAATAAACAACTAGTATCATGTTACAGGCAATTGAAATGATACTATTAATCTCCTGTTACTCCCTATATAATCTCTATTAGTTCTTAGTTAAGAACTTCTGATGCCTCTTAACTATGATGATGATGCACTGATTCACTGAACTCTGTTATATGCATACCTTTTGGACAAAGTATGTATTGGCTCACATAATTAGGATTCTATCTATGGCAAATGAGCTTTGTATTCTGGCTTATACTAATCAATGAAGGGACTCAATGGCACTTAACAACAATATACTAATCATTTCTGTATTTTACCCAATTAAAGCTACATAGTATTGACTTAAAAAAAAAACTGCAAATGTTATGACAAGATACTTTGAAGGCATTTTTAAGATAGTATATTGAATTTTACCAAAAGTAATCAATGGTTTCTATTGAAAAAATGGTAAATACAAAATCATGAATGATCAGTAGAGCAACTATGCAGGGAGGAGAGAATCAGCACTAATGGTAATCTTTCAATTTAAACTTATTTTCTTTTCCTAATGAAAGAAAAGCCTTTGTTTTCTGCTTTGCTTAGAGCAATGAAAGTGGCACGAGGAGAAGAAAGTGCCTTGAAGAGGGATCTAGGGCATGGTTCATTCTGTGCTGTCTACAGAACAAATATAAATCTACACAAAGTTTGTTGTTGTTGTTAAGTGCTGTCGAGTTGGTGACAACCCATAACAACCCTGTATAGGGTTTCCAAGGAGTAGCTGGTGAGCTTGAACCACTGACCTTGTGGTTCAAAACACTTTGCTGTCCAGTGCATTAGCCCACAGTGCCACACCTGGACTCCCTACACATAGTACTTTTTGAAAATAAATTAGCAAGCTATCATAGGTTTGCAAGAAATAAATGAATGATGTTAATACCTGCCCAGGGGCTTGAAACGATAATGGATCTGACTGAAGCTTTGCAACAAGGAAATAGCGCAGCCTGGAGTTCGGAATGCCAAGCTAGAAGTAAAGCACAGCAGTGAGTTCATACAGAAAATGTAAGAGATCTGCACCAACTATTTACCACTTGTGGGAAAATGTATACATGCATACATCTAGCTTCTTCCAGAGCAAGTTCTGCTATAGATTTATGGAAGAATTCTGTATAGAAAATTCTTAATCCTTTTAAACTGTTGCTCTGTGCCTTTATTTGAATGTGATAAGGACTGAATCTTTTGAATCATATGTCTTAGTCACATTCATTTTCTATTTCCCAGGTAAGAACTTACATAAACATTTTTACCCATTACTCATAACACAGGAATCACAAAACATGAAAGTCAAATATAGGCACTCTCAGTTATTTATTACCTTGTTTTGGATTCAATACATTTCAGAAGTTAAAAAGCAATAAACTCCACTGTCATCAAGTTAACCAGACTCACAGTGACCCTACAGAACAGAGCAAAACTGCTCTATAGGATTTCTGAGACTGTAAATCTTCTGTTAACTTTTTAGTATGAATTGGGTGAAGGCTTACAGAGCACATCAGTTTTCCATTCAACAATTCAAACACATTTTGTTTCACCTCACTGACTGCAATCCCCACAAAGTAATGTCACTTATTTCACTTCTTCCCTGCGTTTCCTGTTCCCCTTCCTCCTTCTTCCCTAAGCCTTCTGCACTTCACCCTTAGGTAAATGCTGCCCCTTTTGTCTCAGACTCAGCTTCCTCCCATGAGTTTGAACTGCCAATCTCGTGGTTAGTAGCCCAATGCTTAATCCACTGCACCACCAGGGTTCCTTAAAGGCAATAAATGACATATATTTAAAGACATAAGGCATACTGCCAATTGTTACAATTTCCATATCTAATTTATGATACAGATTTTTTATTTTCAGGGTAAAGGATTGTATAATATGGTAAGAAATAAAAAGAATAATGAGAAAAGAAAAAATAGTGTCACTGAATATGCACCAAATAGTTTAACACAGCCAATTACTCCAATTCTTACCCATGAAATACAAGTAAGGTTTGCATTTTAACAATACACCACAAAAAATAATTAGAAAATTGTTCTATTTCATTCTGTTTTCTATTTTGAATTCTTTTGAAGCATTTTTAAGCTACAGCACATCTGTTTGGAAATATCAAACCATAAGTTATATTAGCATTAAGCTATATAATATTTTCATAAAATATATATAAAAGAACCAATAGACAAAGTAAGACCTATGTCTCCTTTCGAAGTTTACCTAGAGTAGTATTCAAAATAGATTCATTCCATGTGTTGTATCAAATTCCCCTTAGAGGAAAAACAAGTGTTTATATTATAACTACTTATGTATATATGGGACTCTTGGTATGGTGCTGCAAGTCGGTTTGAACCACAAGGTCGGTGGTTCAAGCTCACCAACTGCTCCTCAGAAACCCTATACAGGGTCACTATGCATCAGAACCAACTCAATGGTATTTAATAACAACATGTATATATGAAGGGGCTTCAAAAAATACATGGGAAAATGAGGTCAAAAGATGATGAAGATTTTCCACAAACATTTTGAAGCCCCTTCGCATATTTTATAAAAAAACGTTTACACACACACTATATATATATTTGTGGTACCTACAGAGGTTGGAGATAATAAAAATTCTTGGTACTGAAAGCCACAGTTTTCTATTGTTTGTATAAACAGGTCTCTGAAGAGAAAGAAAAAAGAAAATCCTGAAAAGCTTCCCCTCAAAGTTGGAAATAGAGTTATTATACATAAAATATGATACATAAAACTTCATTTTACGTGAAAATTATTTGTCCAACCAGGTTGTTTAGGAAAAGAATTATCCTAAATTTCCATGAACTCTAGTGCTTGAAAAATTGCATTTAAAAAATGATACAGATAATTCCATAATACATATAAATAAAGCTGCCAAATAATTTATCCAAACTGATGGGCATTAAAACCCCTAATCCTACTGATGATAAATTTGCTAAGAGAAATGGAACTATATTTTTAATATAGTAAATCAGAGAGGGAACACTGTTACAGATATCACTTAAGTCAAAGGAGAAACGTGTTTTCTCTCCAGCTAGGCTACCATCTGAAAGAGCTTGCTTTTTTCTTTGAATTCCAGAAAATGGCATTCAGCAGGGCCAGTTCTTACTGAAAACATTCCTACGTATAAAAAAATAAACACCAATAACCCAGTCTAGAGTCAATTCCACTACTGGCCTGTCATTCTGTTATACTGTGGTGGCTTGTGTGTTGCTGTGATGTTGGAAGCTATGCCACTGGTATTTTAAATGCATGGTGTACATGTTTCAGTGGAGTTTCCAGACTAAGACAGACTAGGAAGAAGGAGTGGTAGACTGCTTCTGAATGTTTGAGGACTAAGGTGCCCCTGAAACAATTCATGGTATTTTCAGTTGCCTCACATGCATGTGACAGCTGGATAAGGAATAAGAAAGACCATGGAAGAACTGATGCATTTGAGTTATGGTGTTAGAGAAGAATATTATAAGTACCATGAACCACCAGAAAAACAAATGAATCTGTCTTGGAAGTACAGTCAGAATGTTCTTTAGAAGCCACGTTGGAAAGACTTTGTTTTGGACATGTTATCAGGAGGGACCAAGGAGCTCTGATAGCGTCATGGTTACAAATCGGGCTGCTAACCTCAAGGTCGGCAGTTGGAAACTACCGGCTCTTCCGCGGGAAAAAGATGAGGTTTTCTGTTCCCATAAAGATTTACAGGTTCGGAAACCCTGTACACAGGGTCGCTATGAGTAGGAATCGACTCCACGGTACATAACCACCAATCAGGAGGGACCAGTCCCTGGAGAAGGACATCATGCTTGGTAAAGTGTAGGGTCAGTGAAAAAGAAGAAGACCCCCAACAAAATGGACGGATACAGTGGCAGCAGCAATGGGCTCAAACTCAATAGTAGAGAGGATGGTGCAAGATCAGAACCAAGTGGACAGTACCTAACAACATGGAGTCAATTCCAACTTATCCCACCTACACAGGGCAGAGTTGCACTGCCCCACAGAGTGAGCAGCCCATCGCTTAACCACTGCACCACCAGGACCCTATGCTGGCCCCAAAAAGGCATCCAAAATTGAAAAACTAAAGCTCTCACTTAAATTAGTGCTCATTCCAAAAATATTCAAATATTCCAAAATCAGATAATCAGTTGAACCAAACTTTGTACTATTTTACATTATTAATTATTAGTCAAAATCATTATTAAGGAATAAAATATTACCATAGAAAATGTCAGAATGTATGTATCTATTTCTAAGATCTTTATTTTACAACAGTTCCTACTTATTAAACACTTTAAAACGTATAAACATATATAAGATAAATGTAATCTTTTACCTTGTCGAAGATACTTCGAAACCTTTGACATTTTCTAAAACAATATACTTTGGTAATTTTTGTAATCTAAAAAAAAAAAAAAATCAATAAAACAATATACAAACAACAACAACAAAAACAATATACAAAATTCCAAAGATTTCATTACTGAGAAGTTATAAAAGTGAGGAAAATCATTACTTGTGAGAAACATGAGGTAAGTACATTTTTTAATTCTCTTTTTATAAAGGAATTTTGTAAGGGATAGAAACAACTCATTTTATAAAGGAATTTCAGAAGCAATGTAGAGAGCGCATATTTTCTTCATTTTTCCCATAAGCACTATATACCAACATACCTAACAAAGCTAACATTTGATGTGTTCATTTCCATTTAAACTTATCTCAAAACATGGGTTCACACAGAGCCTCTGCATAGCACCAGGGGTTGCCATCATGCAGGGTGAAGGTGCTTAGGTTAGTTATAAGTTTCGAGACCAGGGCAAAGGCATTTGTTATCATTGGCATCATTCACATTAATACATGGGCAGAAGCAAAAGCACATAGCTTTTCTCTGTCAATCATTAGTGGCACAAGTGAAATCATGAGATGTTTTCAGTTATTCTATTAATCATGGCAGTGAAAGACAAATGACAAGCACAGGCCGGTATTTGAATGGAAAGTTAAAAACTGTTCCGCTCTACAAAACAACATACATCACATCCTACTATATCCAAAGTTTTAAATGTAAGGTAAGATTGTATAAGAATCCACATTTTTACCTTGGAAGAATATCTAGAATATACAAGAAGCTACTTGTCCTTGGATCAGCCTTATCACCCTGCAGGCCAATTCTAAAGAGGTAAAGAATGCAAATATAAGTTTATCAAGATTCTCATATGAAGACCTCAAATCATTTTTAATAATCAACACCAAGACAATTAAAACAGTTTGGTTCTCTAAAATTAAAAAAAGATCATCTTTGTTTCTATAGAAAACTAATGTACTTATTTACTAAACAATGAAGAAAAAACTTTGTCTTGCATATCTGGACCGCAAGGTCATTTGAGCCACAAGACCATGGTTCAAACTTACCAGCCGCTCCTTAGAAACCTTGTACAGGGTCACTATGAATTGGAATTGACTCAATGACACTTAACATGAACAATGCCGTGCTAAATCACTTAGGTGAAGAAGTCAATAAAGAATAAAATTAATTACCCTCTTAAATTACTTCATTTAAAAAAGACATACACACATATACCTTTGTTCTGTCCCAAGTGAGACAACAAGAGTTCAGATGAATTAGCTGGTTGGGGAAAGTGGGAACCTGGAGCTGCTGGAACCTGTGACTAACTTAAGCAGATCAAAGTAGTCACTAAGACTAAGGAAATCTTGTCTGATGTAAACAGGAGAGACTTAAGTTGGAGGTTTTATTCTACAAATATGAACGCAACTTGGTTTGACTAACTAGGGTCAAGTCAGGTCATGTAAACAAGCTAACAGTTTGATCCTACAAGTAAAAGTCACAATCTGATGGCAAATTAAGCACGAAGGAAAACTTGGATTGAGATTGAGTAAGCAGAAACAAATGGGCTAGGGTTTAAACCCTAGCTACTTATTAGCTTCATAATCTTTAACAAGTTACTAGACATCACCTGTCAGTTTCCTCAGACCTGACAGCAAAGTCAGGCTTGGCTGAAGAATTAGACTAGACTTACACTGATTCCTCAGAAATCTTGGGTTCTTCTCACTGTCTTTCCTCTCAGAGTTCTAAATGATAGTGACCACAGAGCCAGAGTGACTGCCGTTACTCGCCAAAAGTTGGAGTTAGATTAGTACAAGGGGATAATAGGGGGGAGGATCCAAGAGGCCCATTGCAGTAATGGATGTCTAGGTAAGACATAGTTTTTGTTGTTACGTGCCGTTGAGTCAGTTCTGACTCATAGCGACCCTGTATAGGGTTTCCAAGAAGCAGCTGTGTTAGCAGTTCAGTGTTTATCTTACAGTACCACACCAGAACTCCATGTAAGACAAACAGAAGACTATTACTATAAAAATGATGAAATATTAGTATTAAAAAATATCTACATGAAAAAGAATAAGTCAAGATTTTCATCTATGATATAGTCCCTGAAACACATAGTCAAATACCACATAATTAAAATCCTAAAACTACAATACAGCTTAGAGAAGTAAAAATTATTAAATGCATACATGGATTATAAGACATATGAAAATCATATTCAAGCTTGACTAATTTAAAATTTTTATATTTAATTTAGAAGTTGAATAGATTATAGAAATTCACATAAATAAATCAGTGTTAGAAAGACATGTTTGAGTATCCATTAGTTTAAATAATTTAAGGTAATTAAGGCCAGAGATAAAGATTGCATCTTGAGTAGGTATAAAAGAGATTCTATATAATCATTATATATCTACTATTGACCTAATTAGTTTGCTCATTTGACAGCAATTGCATTTCCTTTATGATTAATGTTGAATAATAAATGTAGGTAGATGAAAAGAATTATTTATGAAAAGTTTCAAAACTATGAAAATGTAGCTGATGGATATCAAAGGGTTCATGCCTGAAACTACAGTAAAACTTGATTTAATGAATCCTTCAAAAAGTATTCTTCCTGTAGAGAGAAATATTTATTATACATACCTTGTGAATGGCTGACATGGAGGGCTCATTAAAATCATATTGAAAGATAATCTGTCAAACTCTTCTAGTGTAATGCCCTAGGGAATGAAAATTGGGGGAAAGGGGGATATAAAACATGGAGAGAATGGGGAAAAAGGGAAAAACTTAACTAATTAGAACTAAACAAATATTTCAGAAATTTTAGCAGCTTGAAAAAATATAACTAATGCTTTTAATTCAATTTCAGTTAAGGACATTTTTCAAAACAAGCTTGTGAGAAAGTGAGTCTACAATCTTCAGTATGGCTTACAAACCAATGTAAAGATACCAAAATCCCCACAACAGGTCCAATAAACAACATTATGATAAACCAAAAAAAGATTGAAGTTGTCAAGGATTTCATTTTACTTGGACCCACAATCAGTGCTAAGGAAAGCAGCAGTCAAGAAATCAAAATGACTACTTGATTGGACAGATTTGCTGCAAAGGACCATTTTAAAGTATTAAGGAGCAAAGATGTCAATTTGAGGACTACCATGCACCTGACCCAAGCCCTGGGCTTTTCAAATAGCCTCATATGCATGTGAAAGCTGAACAAAGAATAAATGCTGTAGAAGCACTGATGAATTTGAGTTGTGATGTGGATGACGAATTATTGAAACTATCATGGACTGCCAGAAGAACAGATTTGCCTTGGAAGAATTACAAACCAAATGGTCCTTAGAAGCAAAAATGGGAAGACTTCATTTCACACACTTTGGACATATTGTCAGGAAGGACTAGTACCTGGAGACGGTTGGCGAGAAAGCAGAGGACCCTCACAGACATGGATTGACACAGTGGCTACAACAATGGGCTTAAACATAACAATTGTGAGGATGGCTTAGGACCAGACAGTTTCATTCTATTGTGCATACGGTCACTATGAGTCAGAGCTAACTTGACAGCTCCTAACAACAATATTCCTGAGAGAACTTGTCTGCAGCCATCCACTGATTGCAGAGACATGTTTAAACACATTTTGTTTAGAATACAGCTATGTATGTATGAACAAGAACCCTAGTAGCAATACTTTCTGACTTACCCTTGAATATACACACACAGCACACACACATATACAAACACATATACATGTTGTTGCTGTTATTCAGTGCTGTCAAGTTGATTCTGACTCATAGGGGCCCTGTATAGTATTTCCAAGGAGTGGCTGGTGAGTTTGAACCGCCGACTTTGTACCAGCAAATTATCCCTCAGTGCCACACCAGGACTATTTGCTAATATTTTACTTGTACTTATTTAAGTTTTATATTCATAGGACAACAAATTTCATATTTTGAGGCATATATACGTAGTCATTAAATATTTTTTGTTTTTGTCGGTAAGTGACATCAAATAGCTTCTGACTTAATAGCAATCTGAACAGGGTTTCCAAGGAATGGATGGTGGGTTTGAACCACTGACCTTGTAGCTAGCAGTCCAGTGCTTATCCTACAGTGCCACACCAGGACTCTAATAAACATTCACTAAATGACTACCTATTATTTTTTTGCCAATGAACTTTGAGATTCTATTATTTTCTGCATAAATATGCATGACAAATAGGTATTGCCTAATGATTGTAACAATTATCATTACAAAGCACTTTTCTATGATGCTTAAATGCCTTTGCCTTGAAATCAATCTTTTATCAAAGAAACCCAAGCACAGTAGATTCTGATTCATAAAGACCCTATGGTGGTGGTGGTGGTGGTGGTGGTTGTGTGCTGTGGAGTCGATTCCAACTCACAACGAGCCTGTACAGGGTTTCCAAGGCTGTAAATCTTTACAGGAGCAGAATGCCCCATCTTTTTCCCGCAGAACAGCTGGTAGTTTCAAACTGCTGACCTTGCGGTTCACAAACCGATACGTAACCACTACGCTACCAGGGATCCTTAGAGACCCTATAGGACAGGGCAAATGCTCCAGATGCTTCTAATGCTGTTACCTCAGAGGCAGCGTGCCGCACCTTTCTCCCTTGGAGTGGCTGGTGAGTTCAACCACTGGCCTTTCAGTTAACAGCTGAGCACTGTACCACAACGCTGAAACTCTTGAATCCATTGTTAACATTTGCTTAATATGTTCCCATAACAGGTGTAGCAAAATATATTGTTCATTAAACAGTGTTCATAAATGAATTCACCTATATTTCAGAATATCTGCTGCTGTATTTTTACACATGTTTAAAAAAATTCGCATTGCACACTTATAAAGGTGGAATGGAGGGATTTGGCAAGAAAATGTAGAATGCACGTGTCATCTGAGCAAAAATATGGTATACGCCATTGTATATACAATGAACAAATCAGATACTGTTTCTACCACTAAGAAGTTTATATTTTAATAACTAGTAATGCCTATAGGATCAGCACTGGACTGCAAACCACAGGGTCGGCAGTTCAAACCCATTAGCTGCTCCTCTGAAACTCTATACACGGTCGTTATGAGTTGAAACCAACTCAAGGGCACTAACAACAACAACAGTGTGATTGCTAGTTATCTTTTTATCAGTATATAATGATTTTTTAAGTCTATAACTTTATTGATTTTCTCTAGACATATTTCTGTCTATTCCTCTTTCTCCTCCAAAAACATGACTTCTATATTGTTAGAAATGCATCCTGGTGTGCCGCTGTGGGTTAATGTGCCAGACTGCAAAGCCGTTTGAACTGCAAGGTTGATGGTTTAAGCTCACCAGCTGTTCCTTGGAAACCCTATATAGGGTCGCTATGGGTCAGAACTGACTCGACAGCACTTCACCACAACTACATAGTTAACATTTACAACATTTATACTCTGTTTTACAACCTTAATTTCTTTCCAATAATGAGAGCTTCATTGCTGGACTCTCTATTTGGATTCATATCTTCCTTACCTAGATTTAATGACCAAGTTATTTTTTTCAAGAAAAGCTCATAAATCCGGTATCTCATAAGTTGTTGCAAGTCCTGTTTTAAGAAATTTTTCATCTGCTGTGGTGCCACAGGATATGCACTGGACTGCTAACCACAAGGTTGGTGGTTCAAACCCACCAGCTGCTCCTCTGAAACCCTATGCACGGTTGCTATGAGTCAGAACTGACTCAATGGCACTTAACAACAACATACCTTTTCATATTCTTCCTCCCTATTTGTTGTTGCTCTCCTCTTCTTCAAGAGCACTAATTATTCCGATCATTATCCTCTCCACAGCTATCACTGACTGTTCAACATTGAGCTCAGTATTCTTTTCCATTTTATTTCGCTTTATTTTCATTCAGCTCCACCCTTCTTGACCCTTTATCAGCAGTGCTAGTTTAACTTTCAGTTACTTCTGACATGATTTTCATTTTCATTTTTTTTTTACAGAACCCTTAAAATTATCAATTGACATACAGCACTAAACAACTATGTTGAATTCATCACAGGTGAAATAATAACATGATTAATTTTGACAAACTTGAAAAACTAACAGGTACCCAAATAAGTAGTAACCAATGACTATGTCCTTTGTTTGCTCCCATGTGCTCTAAGGAACACAAGTATTAATTGAGAGTACAAAACTAAACAAAATTTGATATCACTATGTTGCTATTAAGTGCCATTGAGTCGGTTCCAAGTCATAGTGATCCCTATTTAAGGTTTCTGAGGAGCCACTGATGAGTCTGAATCACAGTTAAAACCGAGCCTGCAGTCCAGCACATAAGCCCCTAGCACCACACCAGGCATTTAGAAGGTAAGCATTTTCTGACATTTCAATTATTTTTCTTGGAGACAAACACATTGTTCTCGTGTTCTAAAGATGAAGGTTTTTGTTTTGTTTTAAAAAGCAGCAAACTTTTTTCTGATAAAATATAAAACATGTATTCCCCTCTCCTAGACTTCTTTCATTTATTATCACCTTGTATTCTAATGAAGATATCAGAAACCGGTAATTTGCAGGGTTTTCCATCATATTTTTCTTTTTATATTTATTAAAATAAGAACGATCATTACTTACTTCAATTGTCTTGGCCAATAACAGTGTGTGAGGAAAATTGTACTTGTACACTTCATTAGCGACAGTATTTACATCAATGGCGGCCACCACTTGGGCAGGTACACAGCTTTCTGTAATAATAAGTGAAATATTAAGAAAAAAAAAAAGGGCCTTAACCTTAATGTCAAGGAGCTTTGGTAGTGTAGTGGTTACGAATCAGGCTGTGAGCCTCAGGGTCAGCAGTTCGAAACTACCAGCTGTTCCGCGGGAGAAAGATGAGGCTTTCTGCTCCCGTAAAGATTTATAGCCTAGGAAACCCTGTGCAGGGTCGCTAAGAGTCGGAATCAACTCCATGGCACATTACAACAAGCAACAACAACCTTAATGTCAGTTTGTCCATTGCAGAGTGAAGCCAGAACAAGAGAATTCTGTAGTACATGTCCTCCCTTCCTCAGTTACCTTGCCTTGTCAAGTGAGATCCAGGCCAGGAGGGGTTGGGCATCACGGGAAGCATGTGAATATGTACTTTGGGTAAGCAACCAACACTAGAAATTAGTTTAAATGTTTATTTTAGTCATGACCTCTTATATTTGCATTCTTCCATCTATTAAGATACATTTAAAAGTTGAGTAAAAAGATTTTCTAAGTTAAACTAAAAACAGTAAAGTGGTTTGCAGTCCAGTCCTTATCCTACAAAGCAAGAGTGCTCCTATTTGAAGGATAATATCAGCAAATTAACTGCTGCATCCATTAAAAATAAGATATATAAAAAGAAAAAGAATGGATAAGGTCATAGTTGCAGTTCATAGTAATGTGTTAAAATCAAGAACATGTCAAGACGACCTCTGAATACTAAGTGTCTACTCAGCTCAAGATACCTGGCAGTACAAGTTAATTATCCACTGCTGAAAAGTAAGGTATCTGTGCCCTGGACCTATGTTACTGGAATGGTTGAGGCCAGTTAGCAGTATCATTGGAAACTGTCTCCAACTGAGTTCAAATTCAATAAGAAGTTACTTGCCTTAGTAGAAACTAAATTTAAGGTTGTAAATTATCTTTATCAAAGACACCAAAAATATCTAGAAACATATATTAAAAAAGACTTACACACAAAAAAAATAGTAATTGATTTAGTAAGTGTTTTGTTCTATATATATTACCAAAACAAAAACTAAAAGGAAAAAAAAAGTACATAAGTATAAATCTGCAAAGTCATAAACTACTATAAACCAGGTAAAAAAAAATAAGAGCACTCAGAATTAAATAAACTTCTCTGTACTAGTTTATTGTTTTGCTAAACAAAAAGACATGTTGTACTAAGTATGATGCACTCTGAATGCATTTCCATTACATCCATGCAGCAAACTGATTCTCTAGAGTTGGTTGGTATACTTGTATCTTTTCTCAGGCTGCCTGAAATTACACAAGGATGTGCTAAATGTGTCAGAAACAAGAATTAATTTTATGTTCTTGTGATATGTACCTCCAAGACTTACAACTGCCAAAAATAAAATGCCAAATGAGAGTTTCATATATCAATACCAAAACTAATGAACTGAAACTTCATTTTTCAGGGGAAAATGGATTTTAAAAATCAATAACCAAAAGCACTATCTGCATTGATTGATATATACACTTTAGACTGTTAAAACATTAACACCTATTGTATGATCTAAAATATTATTTCTATAATGAGAAGTGGTTATATTAAGACATCCTGGTATGGCGCTACAGGATCAGCACTGGACTGTGAACCACAAGGTCGGAAGTTCAAACCCACCAGCTGCTCCTTGTAAACCCCATACAGGGTTGCAATGAGTCAGAACTGACTGGACAGTACTTAACAACAACAAGACTAATTCAGCCTACTGTTTTACAACATAATTGTTTTGGAATATGGGTGTGTTTCTAGGAAAAATTAAACTCATATAAATCTATAGTCTTAAATCTATAGTCTCCCAAAACCTTTACTGTTAAACTTTATACACAGATTTTGAAAATGTGTAATCTGAAAGTAATTCCACAGAATTTTGCAAAACTTGTGCTTCATCAAGTTTCATCAAAACTTGTGCTTAAGTAATTCAGGAGAAGAAAACTGTCTGCTCCTGCAAAGATTTACAGTCTCAGAAACCGTAGACAAGGTCCCTAGGAGTCGTCACCATTCAGTAGCCTTAACAACAATAAAAACATGAGTAGAATAATCATTTCCAAAGGTAAGAAATAAAAGGAAAAGACCAAGCTATTTTGATAGACGGTAGAAGGAAGAAGGGATGTGTTTTCAATATTGCTCTATTGCTTTGATGCTTTTAATCCATGATATTTCAGTTATTTTTCTGGATTTTAATATTTAACAACAGAAAACAAGGATAAAAAAGAATGAGGTACCATAGTTAGAGAAACACAATAAAAATTATTTTAAAGGCTTTCACACTGGATTGACAAGGAAAGGATAAGGGATATCATATTCTGAATTATATGAGGACTGAACTAAAAAAAGGAGCAGATTTAGTAACTTCAAGAGAGATTTCTATGTGTGATGAAAGAAATGTCCCTGAGAACATATGCATATGTTATCAAGAATGTGTCTTATTAAGAATAGACAAGAAATATAAACACAAATACACACTACATTGGAACAGTAATAATTTTCCTTCTTTTTTGATAACTCTCCTGGAAAAGTTGTAAGGAAAAAAACCTCTCTGTTTAGTGTAATGAAAAAGTACAAGTGCACACTCTAAACCACTTTTCCTAACAAATAAGCCCAAAATTTTAGTTGTTCATGTGTATCAAGCATCGTTGATTGTTATTGCTGTCGTTAGGTGCCAGTGAGTCAGTTTCAACTCATAGCGACCCTATGCACAACAGCTCAAAACACTGCCCAGTTCTGCACCATCTCCTCACCTCAACTATAGTTGTGTTTGTGTTCATTGTTGCTGCACTTTGTCAGCCATCTCATTGAGGATCTCCACTTTACCAAGTATGATGTCCTTCCCAAGGACTGGTCCTTCCCGACATATTCAAATCAAGGTGATTAAGTGGGGGGAAAAATTTTAACTGCAAATAGTCAACTTTGAAATAAGGTAACAAAACTATTTGGTTTTCTTTACCATTTGCCTTTTAATCTCCATTTTCTATAGGAGAATAATTATTTGAATTACCTCATCATAATCACACCTGAGACACCTACTCAGGTATATTAACACTGACATCTAGTTGTGAAATGGAAGATAAGCTGAATATATCCAAGGTCTGTTTCCTCTCATTCAGAATGATAGATTAATTAGGAACAAAGTGCTAATCACAAAAAGACTTAAATGTGAGCTTCAAGTCATTGCCATATATTTTTAACATCTTTAAAGAAACATTAGAAACTTAATATTTTTAACACCATTAGAAATTCAAGCTGGATTCAGGATAAGATGTAGAACAAGGGGTATCAATGCAGATTATTAGTTGGATCTTGGCTGAAAGTAGAGAATACCAGAAAGATGTTTACTTGTGTCTTACTGACTATGCAAAGGCATTCAACTGTGTGGCTCATAACAAACTGGGTAACACTGCAAAGAATGGAAATTCCATAATACTTAACGATGCTCATGCGGAACCTATTCAAAGATGAAGAGGCTGTCTTTCAAAGAGAACAAGAGAATACTGTGTTGTTTAAAGTCAGGAAAGGTATGTGTCAAGGTTGTATCCTTTCATCATACTTATTCCATGATGAACAAATAATCTGAGAAACTGACTATGAGAAGAAGAACTGGTATCAGGATTGGAGGGTGGTTTATTAATAATCTACAATAGGCAGATGGCACAATGTTGCTTGATGAAAGCAAAAAGGATTAAAGGCATTTACTGATGAAAATCAAAGACTATATAGCCTTGGTATGGATTACAACTCAAGGTACAAAAAATAAAATTCCTCATAACTGGACCAATAAACATTATGATAAATGGAGAAAACAATTAAGTTCTCAAGGATTTCATTGTACTTGAATGCACAATCAATGCTCATGGAAGTTGTTGTTGTTGTTAAGTGCTGTTGAGTTGATTACGACCCATAGCAACCACAGGGTCTCTGAGGCTATAAATCTTTATGGGAGCAGAAAGCCTCATCTTTCTCCCGCAGAACAGCTGGTAGTTTCGAACTGCTGATCTTAAGGTTCGCAGCCCGATTTGTAACCACTACACTACCAGGGCTCCTGCTCATGAAAGTAGCAGTCAAGAAACTGAACAATGTATTGCATTAGGCTAATCTGCTGTGGCGCTGTGGGATAAAGCATTTGAGTGCAAGGTCGGGTTGAACCACAAGGTCGGCGGTTCACACTCATCAGCCGCTTCTTGGAAGCCCTGTACAGGGTCGCTATAAGTTGTAATCAACTCGATGGCACTTAACAACAAAAGACCTCTGCAATGGTGTCACTTTGAAGACTAAGGAGCACCTAACCCAAGCCATGGTATTTTTGATTTTCTCATATGCATGTGAAAGTTAGAAAACGAAAAAGGAAGATTGGACAAGAATCGGTGCATTTGAATTATAGTGTTAGGAAGAATACTTAGTGTACCATGGACTGCCAGAAGAAAAAACAAATTTGTCATAGAAGAAGTACAGCCAGAATGCTCCTTAGAAGTTAGGATGGGAGATTCGTCTCATGTACTTTGGACATGCTGTCAAGAAGGACCAAAGTCCTTGGATAAGTAGAGGATCCGTGAAAAAGAGGAAGACCCAAGGCGATGGAATAATACAGTAGCTGCAACAGTGGGCTCAAACATAACAACAATTGTGAGGATGGTACAGAACCAGGCTGTGTTTCCTTCTGTTGTGCACAGGATTGGCTAATTGATGGCACCTAACAACAACAGAAACGTATGGTTCTCTTTAAAGTTTCTTTCAGAAACTGCTAATAAATTATTTTTATTCATCAAATAAAAAACTTTAATGTAAAAAAAAATTATACATAGTCACTCAATTTCTTTAGAAGTTCAGCTAACAATCAATCCAAAAAATTTTTTTTTTTTTTTTTACCTTGGGTCAAAAACATTTTACCCACATCTTGGTAAATACAAGGATGGGCAAGAATTAATTGCTTGAGCTATGAGAACTGATCACAACCATGGCACTGTGTCTCAGGAC